GTTTTTGACACTTCCGGGTTGGCTTCATGTTTCAGGGCCGGTTGCTACGTCCATCTTTTATACAGTCTATGGCTGTGTCCGAAATCACTCCCTATGCCCTACATAGTGCACTATATAGGGTGCACGCCATTTTGTAGTGTTGTTCGAATTCTCAGCGGTAAATTTCATCCACTATATAGTGCACTCAAAATATCCCACAATGCACCGTAAAAAGTAGTGTACAGCCCATGGTCACTAACCGAGCAATATGGACCGTCATGCATTACACGAAAGGAAATGGAAATGGAGATGAACGAGAGCACGGAAAAATCCCGTTTGTTTTGTTAAATTTTATTTTACCCAGACAATGAACATCGCTAAAATTGCGGCGCTCGGTTGTGATTTGGACATACAACACCACTTTATTTAAATTGCTTTTAGTTACTGGATCCTGAAGAAACACTCTCTCATCTGGTATGTACAGCAAAATGACAATAAACTTGATTAAATTTGATTTCTTAGCTACGCAATAAACTGTTAGTTTGATGTGTTTGTACTACGCTGTTGCAGCACAAATCGCGGCTAGCGAGCGACGTAATTAATAGCTCGAGTAGTGTCCGAAATGATACTTTGCCGAGGTGCTCCCTATATAGTGCACTACATAGTGCACTATATAATGATCACTATATAGGGAGTATGGAGTAGGGAGTGAGTGGGTGATTTCGAACACAGCTTATGTGTCCAAGCTGCTTCTTCTTCGTTAGTAGCTGCTGGCCACTTTACAACGCTGGAGACATATACTGCCACTTAGTGGCCAAACATTTCTGAGACCCAATCTCGTTTATTTTATGCATTTCATTTGAATTTACTCTAAATGAGAACAAATCACGTTGATTTTATATATTTGTGGTGTATAAAAGTTGAAAATATGTTAAATTGGGTAAAATCAATTAAATCTACCCTTTTAATACCAATGACACCCAAGAATCATTTTTTTGAGTAGGCAAAAATATACAACATCCTCTACATGAACTGTCACCGACATCAAGTATCAGAATACATTTGATATTGGTTAGAAGTCGTGTATGACTAATAGCTTGCTTACAAAAAAAAATAATAATAAAAAAGTAATATGGGGTTAAGAAAGAGTCACTTCCCCTCAACTCTCCCGTGTCCTAGCATGAAAGTACAGTTCAATCAAGCATGCAATATGAAGGGTGTTGGCTGCTGAGAAGTGCTGTATTTGCATTTGCTGTGGCTCCTGTAGCAGCAGAGTGGAAATTTTTAAATAAACCCACTGCAGCATTCTTTTAACCACAAACATAACAGTATACCCAACAGTGAGACCCCTCAGGGAATCCTAAAAAGCACCACACACACACACCCACATTAACCCACCCACACAAAAACACACACGTGCTGGTTTTGTATTCTGAAAATTTCCATTATTATGTCAATCAAACTGTGTCATGCTGATTTACATGAAAAAGGCTCAGAACAAGTGTGCATGAGTGTATTAATTCATAAGAGCATCATGAATTAATGTCAGCAAATGTACGGGGCTTTCTCATTTCAAGAATTGTTCTCTAAACTGTTGGGTCACTTGCTCAGTTTCGGTACATATAGAAACTTTTCTGCTAACTTCCTGTCTGCGTTAAAGCTGCTACACTGTGACTCAGAGCATGATTTTACTTTCTGTGTGATAGTCTTTAAATTGTTCGTGAGTTTTTTAGTTTTTGTGGTTCTTCTTACACTGATGACAAAGCAAATGCAGTCTCACACTCGAGCTGTCTGTGACCCTGAAACATCTGAATGTCAGGGTTTTCTGAAAATGACTAAATCAAAATTTGAAGGTCTTTCAGTTGGTCCCTGTTCCTCGACAGTTGCTCTCCAATCCCACCTCAGTTAGCTTTCACCCAAAATAAAGAATACTTTCAGGTTTTGTTAGGTTTTAGACCCATCTCAAAATACATTTTATTCATTTTTCTCATCTATCTAACACAATATTCCACAACAACAAAGCACAAGTGCTAAACTAATAAAATAAAACACTGCATTGTCCAGTTTACACAAGTATTCAGAATCTTTGTCATGGTGCTTGGTGCCTGCAATTGGGCATTGGTGGATCATACGTTTATCTACATGGTTTTTAAGATGCTTCTGCAACTTGACTAAAGTCAATGCAGTGGACACATGTCTGTATAGGTTCTCACAGTTGGTGGTGTATGTCAGAGGGAAAACTAAGGCATGAGGTAAAGAGAGTTGACTGTACAGGCTTGTTTCTTTTGTAGATCTGCAAGACAGATTGGACTTGTAGGTCTACAAAAGAGGCAAGCCTGTAGACCTGGAGGCCAAGCCTGTGGACTAAGTCTGTCTGCAAGACATTCTGTCTGCACAACAGACTTGTCTTACAGGTCTATGAAAGACACCTCAGATGGAAGGAAGAATATAATACATTTTCTACAACACTGAGATTCCAAAAGCATAGTGGCCTCTGTCATTTTCAAATTAGGGGAGTTTGCAACCACCAACAGTGCTCGTAGATCAGTCTGCCCAGCCAAACTTAATAATAAGATACAAAGACCTCGGTAAGACAGGCAACCAAGAACCCAACGGTCACCATGAGAAACATCTATAGTTTCTTTGAGGTGAGACAACTTTACAGAACAAAAACTACTGGTGCAGCACTTTACCAATCAAGTCTTTCTGGTAGAGTAAGCAGAGAGAAACCTTTTCTTACTAAAAGGCACCTGAACAACTCTTAGATCACAAGAAGTAAAATCCTCTCATATGATGAAGCTTGAACTAATTGGCCTACATTCCAAGCAGTATGTGTTGAAATCAGGCAGTGAGCATTGTCTTATTAATCGGATTGATACAGTCAAACATGGTGGTGGAGGCATCATGCTAGAAGGGTGTGTTTCTGTGACAGTGACTGGGAGAAGAATGAGGATATCATCTGATATAAAACACTTCAGTGATAAACCTCAGTCATAAACACGCCCCATAAAACAACAACTAGATCGGTAAAGTTTGATAATAGAACAGTATTCAGCTTCTGTACTGGAGTAGGCGTCATCCTTCAGCTATTTGTCCTTTTGGACTTTGATTTACGCTTTATGGTAGTTTTCCACAGTGGAAAACAGCTACAAAGAAGACATGGCGTCACTTAGAAAATAATAAAATGAAAAAGTGCACAGAAATGTTGTTACTGCCATCAACAAGTCAAATGTCTTTTGTACAATGTGATGGTTTTCCAATTTTAAACAATAAAATGATAACTACAATAATCATATTTTGTACTGTTAGGAGGATCAGGTTGACATTGCTGTCAAACATGCATTACGCAAATAAAAAAGCGAAGGATCTGATACTCATGCAAAGGACATTGTGAAGTATTGTGTATAGGCTGATCAGAAAAAAAATGAGTCTGTAACATAACAAGATATGGTTAAACTTAGAAGGGTCAAGAACCCTGGTATGCATTTTATACAATGTATAGATGGAAAACCCATTATTTAAGGTTTTAGAATTGTGTCCCCTCAGGACAATGACAAAGCTCAAATATGTTCTATTCAGAATGTCATGCCTTGAGAAAGTAGTCCAGATTTTTTTTCTTTTGAGACCTGGGCACTGTTATAGTCTAGTAATTGTCATAATTAATTGTAGCAAATTATGCTTTTATTATTATTATTATTTTTAATTTAACTACAAGGTCAATGTACATTGGTAGGATCAAGTCCTTGTTGGTTATATGGAATATTATGTGTCTTACGAGGTGTGTCAGAAAAGTTCCAGGACTGGTGTCACAAAAGATATATTTCAAATCCAAACTACAAACTACAAGTTTATACCTTCCAAGTAACACTGGAGTCTAACACACTTTCCCAGCCTTCTCTGCCACGCCGCCATGCACTCCTGGAAGGATTCTTCTGGGATCCTCCACAGCTCCATCATCACAGCCATCTTGATGTCGTCCACGTCTTCAAAACGGGTCCCCTTGATGACCCCCTTGAGCTTGAGGAAGAGGAAAAAATCCCACTGAGCCAGGTGGGGTGAGTAGGGAGGTTGCTCCAGCAGGGTGATGTTCTTCTCAGCCAGGAACTGTTGGATGCTCAGGACATTGTGAGCAGGCGTGTTGTCATGGTGAAGCAGCCACGACTTGTTCTGCCACAACTCTCGCCTCTTCTCGCACACTGAACGAAGCAAACACTGCAGGATCTCTTAGTAGATGTGCTGGTTGATCGTCTGAAGGGGAAAACTGCTAGTTTGGGTTTGAAATATATCTTCTCTGACACCAGTCCTGGAACTTTTCTGACACACCTCATATGCTTTAATTCACTGCTATAATCGGACTTTTAGCAAAAAACAAAAACAATTTTCTAGCTTCTCCAAGGCTGGTGACATCTTTTTAGCTTTGTTTTCTTACATCTTTTTGTTTATTATTTTACTGTTTTAATCTGTGATCTACTTAAGAAATATAAAAATCATCATATGGCAAAGTTTATAGAGAAGGAAAAGTTAAAGCAAGCAATTTTGGGGGGCCTAACTCAGCAAATACCTTCAAAATACCCCAAAAGTACAACTAAAAACTCCCTATTTCTGCCTGACACAACCACATTAGTTAATGGTAACTAACTAGAAATGATATACCAGTAGCTTCTATCAAATGCATATACATCAGTATATCATATCATCCAAACTTAATTCATGTCCAGCTCTGGCTTAATTAATCATTTAAAGTATGCACCAAGGATTTCTATATCCAGACTTTGAAATGCACATGTTCAAATGCACAGCGTGCATATGATAGAGTTGAGACAAATAATCTTTCTCCAGAAATCAGAGTCAAACAATCCTTTCCCACAGGAATTTTACAGTTGTGACTCAGTGACAACAGTAGCTGAGTCTAAACAGCAGTTGTCTGTACGCTTATCCGAATGGTATTTTGATACCTGTACCAGCAGGCCCTCGGCGTCACAGGTATTATATCTTTCCTGCCAAGTTAAAGGCAAGCCCAGGAGAGAACAGTATTATTTACACTGATCACAACAGACCATTGCAGTGTAGCTCCTCAAAGGACATTATCAGGGATGTTACAATGCCGAAACTGTTGTTTTCAAAGATTCGATTTTATGAAATAAAGGATCTAATGCCGAATATGAAGCGGCCCAGGAGGTACGTCACACAGACTAATGATACTGAGTATTAATTGCACTAAGGTAGACTGGTTGACTAAGTAAGGTGGACAGACTAACTGTTACCTGTTAAAAAGTAAAGCTTTACATCAACTAGCACTAAGTTCAATGATGTGTTTTTCAGGATTGATATTGTACTTAATCGGAAAAGGCGTAAGAAGGACATCCAGTGCCTCAAAGTACAAAAAATACATGCTGAGACATATCCTTCAAACCTCAGGTAGTATATGCTGCACTGTTAGTTATCTCAATCATCCTGTTGTTCACTCGAGTGGGAAATAACCTCATATTCCTTTTTATTGCAGTAGTCAGACTGACCATAAACTCCACTTGACTCTGGAGAACTTGCTAAAGGATAAAAGTAAGAAGGGTAATTTCTCACAAAATTTCCCCTTTATGATCTTTCTGATGGTTTTTAAACAATGAATAATCATGTACTTTTAACTCTTTCTCTCCCTACAGAGCATTTAGCGGCCTTCCGTTCTTTTCTAAAGTCCGAGTTCAGTGAGGAAAACATTGAGTTCTGGCTGGCATGCGAAGCCTTCAGGTCGACTGTCTCGCCGGATGACCTTCGCCAGAAAGCAGAGGAGATCTACCAGGAGTTCATCCAGCCTACAGCCTGCAGAGAGGTCAGTTTCTCAGTAACACCAGGATTGGTAGCGCATGGTAGAAATAGAAATAGCTTTATCTGCCCTGTAGCATAATGAAGAATATAACCTAAAATACAAACTGCATTTTCCTGAACTGACATTACAGAACAGAGGAAAGAATTATTGCATCAGCGGAAGAAACTACACCTCATATCAGGAAGAGAAACAAGTAAAAGATTCACAAAGTTAGTGAAGCAATGTGGTTGACTACTATATGTCACAACTTCCACTGCTTGGAGTGCTGCATTTAAAAAAAAAAAAAAAAAAAATGTAGTGTTGGTGAAGATGTGTTCTCTGAATCTGGGGTGGGGTTCAGCAGCATTTCATGAAACCTGAAAGAGTCAAATGTGAATTCTTCAAGTCTTTTTTGAGATTGGAATTTAAACACTCAATATTTTCTAATGCCAGAGTCTGAAATGTTTGTTCATTTTTAAATATATCGGGTGAAATATTTGATCAACATATAAAGTAAAGCCAGCTATTGAAATTCTTTGAACAATAACACATGCATACAGGAGGAGACCGCAAAGCTGTGCAAGTCCACTTTGAAATTGCAGGCCACAGTTTAAAAAACAGGTATTTAGAACTCCTGGGATTTTGTATGTCACAAATTTAAAAACCAGCTTGCAGGGTGGGGCCCTCTGTATCATTATTCTTCTTCAGAATCATTTTCTGACTTGAACATGAATCACTTCAATGTTACAACCTGCCATTGTGCACAATACAGTAGTTTTGCAGTGTCGTAGCAGAATTGTAGGTGAGCTGGTGTGCTCAAGCTGAGTGGGGAGGGAGTGGAGAGAAAGCACAGCCGCAAAGTTTTTACACTTTCTCGAGAAAGCAACGATGTAGAATTACATCCCAGTCGTGTTAAGGCAGATTATTTTCATGGAAGCAACTTCTAAATGTGTAACTTTGATACACAGAGATGAGGTTTTAGGGGTTATAGAGAGGGACTTTAAAGAAAGAGTCTTAATCTATTGTGTTAAAAGGTCATAGAATAAACTGTTCTGTTAGAAATATCCACATTTTCAAGCATCTTGCGTCAGTGTTGTTGTTGTTGTCAGACATACAAATTACCTTAAAAATCAGACCCAGTACACAATTACTTGCTATGTATTCCATCTCATTCTACATTGTACCGTACATATTGACTTTCCTGTTTGTTTTTTTTTCCCTATAGGTCAACGTAGACCACCATGTTAGAGAGAAGATCAAGAAGTCGTTGGAGAAACCAAGCCTCTCCTGCTTTGACGAGGCCCAGAAGCACATTTACCTGCTGATGGAAAGAGACTCTTGCCCCCGATTCCTGCACTCAGACGCATACCTGAGTCTGAAGCGCAAATCTAGGACTCTGTGGTACGTTTAGCTTAGAAAGAAAAGCTGCGGCTCCCATCAAAACACTGTATCAACACAGCTCATTTAATCCCCTTCTATTTGGCTGAAATGAAAAGCTATTTCACGCGGTAGCTATAAGAGGTGAAGCTCGGATCAAAACTGTTTTCTTTTCGAGGCAGAGCCTTTCTTGCCTGCTCTTAACCCAAACTAAAATGATGTTTTCTACAACACCAGTCTTTTTTTATTTTTATTTTTTTAATGTAATGGCAAAATGATGTATTGATGAAATGCTGTGGATAAGAATAAAGCAGGGCAAAAACCATGAGAGAAAAGCAATGTGAGGGGAGTTATGTGCATAGAGGAGAGAGAATGCTGCTGGTATGTGTCAGTTCTTTAGATGATTGTACAGAGTTCGGGGTTGTTTGAAACGCTGTATGTGTTAACTGAAAGACTCAGTAAGTTAAGGTGCAGTTTGCTGGATGCGAGATGATAAAAAAAAAAAGTGAGAAATAAATGGTTTCTAATTAAATGTTTCATAAATGGGCACTGAATTGCAGATTTGTTCAAGTCTTGGCTTCTTAACTATCTTGTTGTTATTTATATTCACTGTTTGTAACTATTCCTAATTTTCGAACTGTTTCCATACAGTCAGAATTTATATTTATCTGACTGACTAACTGGAGACACGGGGATGGGCATGAGTCAAAAAAAGAAAAAGAGAAGAGTTTCCACAGCTCACCCTGCAAGGAGATGCTGTTTTTGGTCACATGTCTGATATATCCTCTAATTAGGTGCAGAGATGACTCCACACAGGAGCGGTAGGGTTTACCAAACTGGAAAAAAGTAACCCCGCAGTAACCCTTGATCCCTCACTGTTCTGTAAATGGCCTTATTCCTGAAAATTGTGCCTTAAAAAGGAGTACTGAGGCAGCTAATAATAACTCAGGGGCTTAAACGACAACACTGGAGTCATCAGACAACCTGATGCGTAACAGATCAGCCTGAATGCGCTGCCTTGTTAGGGGAATAATCTCATCACCCACGGACAATGATGGAGGAGAAACACATGTTCTTTACTTAGAAATATAGATTGAAAGTGAACTAGATTTTATGTTGAAGTAGAGAATTTGCATTTTTTTTTAAGTAAGTCTTTTTTAAACTGACTGACTTTTCAAGCAAACCAAAAGTCACTGTGCAGACACAGAACACTTGCTGGAGAGAATTTGTTGAAAAAGGTATAATATGATTTTCAGCATGTGCAAACACAGCATATTGCTGCTCAAGAAAAATATTTTTGAACCATATCTAGTGAAACACTAAAATGTGGAAAGACCCCTGTTTCATTTTATGTGTAAACCAGAATTTGCACCTCATGGCTGTGTGCTTCTGCAAACCACTCATTGTGGTTTACATCCATGTGTGTCCAGACACATATAATATACATATAAAGACTTTGAAGTGTATAAGTTCATTGTGAGAAACAAAAGCAGAGTCAAATTCTTTGCATGCACACAAAGTTGTTGCCGTGACAGTAGACCATGGTTCAAACATAGATGTGGCTGAAAATAAGCTACATATTGTCTGTGTAGATTCTTGGTAATCCAGATCATGGAACTCCTAGCAGCTTCAGATAATGAGCAGCTGGACATGTCAGAGGCTTCTTGAAACTGAAGAAGGCGTTTGAATGGCAGGTAAAACATCTTCAAGACCCTAAAAGAGAAATCCAGTTACGTTTTTTTATTGACCTTCCTAGGACTAAGCTACACATCCTAAATTGTGGAGGCGACACACACACACCTTCAACCTGGCAGCACAGAAGATCAATACAATCCCCACAGTTTCTAGTTGGTCACCCAAGATTAGCATTAGCAGTTAACCAAATGTCAAACATAGTTACAATCTCTCCCTTTGGTCTTGTGGTGTTGAATAGTCAGAAAAGGATTTTGGCAGAACATTATGGCATCACAGTTGGACTTTTTGGATATGCAATGTTATCACTTCATCATTTTATCTTTTTTTAGACATTTTATACACATATTTTATCAGACTAAGTGTTTGAATTCTTGAGTGCAGGCCAAAAACTTTGTTTGTGAGTCCGCAGTGACCTATGACCACCAAATTCTAATCAGTTCATCCTTGAGTCCAAGGGAACCTCTCTGCCAAATTTGAAGGAAATTTCCTCAAGGCATTCTTAAGATATTGTTTTTGAGAGAATGGGACAGACGGAGAATGCAAAGTCATAACGCCTCCAGCCAGCTGACACCTGGTACAGGCATAAATAGTATTGCTACACCTTTTCTCTCTCTTTTTTTTAAAACTCAGACTCCAGCCTGCAGTACAAATGAAGAGTTCATTTGCAAAAACAGATAACTTCATTTTGTAGATTTTCAGAAAACGTATTTTGTTGCTTGAGAGAATATCAATCAAACTGAAGTTGAGTGGATTTGACTCAGTAGAAATGACATGGCAAAAATACAGATAACTTAAGTTTGATTGATAATGTCTCAGGTACATGATGGAACAGTGGGTTTTCTGAAGGTTTGTGGAGATGGAGTTATCTGTTTTTGAACTCTTCAAATACTACTGTACAATATACATCTAAAATAGAATGTAATTAAAAATCTATAGACGACATTGTAAAAACAAACTATGAAGTTTGCTCATTTTCAAATTCCGATATGGGGTGAGGAGATTGTGACTGGTGTTTTTCAACCAAGACCCATTGTCATAATCAAGAAATGTCATTCATCCTAACAGTGTAGTTTACCTGTGTAAAGCTTCTAATTAAATAAGCTCATCATGAGGCAGTAAATGGCAGATGATTCCAAGTGCATCCACTCATGTTGCTGTAATTGTTGGGCACTTTCAGCAAAAACTTTAGCTACTAATTACACAACTCGGTCTCTTGGACGCTGTTTGCACTTGGTTTTGTAAAATTGCTTTCAGTTATTTGAATGCAAGTGGGCAGCCGAGACACATCGCCAGCTGAATGTTTGTGTTCAGATTTCGTTTCAGCCTACGTCACTTCTGGTAGAAGATCAAAGAGCCACAGATATTTTGTCAGTTCGTTGCCAGACAAGCCCTAGACTTGCTTCGCATGTGCTAGCTAAGAGAGCGGAAATGTTTTAGGAACCAATGTACATGTACAAGCTCTTCCAATAGTTCAGATTGACAGGACACTGCTGCTTGGATAAAAGCACATGATAACAACCACCACATCCTGTTTCAATGAGCTATTCTTGTTACATATTTGTTGGAGGTGCATTAGGATGCACTAGCATTAACTCTACAACAGATATGTTGTCAAATTTTACACTGAATAATTGCAGTTTTTAAAATTCTACATTGCAGGCCAACAAATCGCAAGTGGGTGCATTTTAAACCAGTTATAGCCCTGTTATATTCAAAGGAGATTTGACTTCAGCAACTTCAGTTTGTATTCTGAATCCAAAGTGTTGTTACATTTATGCACCAAAAGCAGTATGTTTAGGTTTAGGGACAAACTGAGGTTTCTAATAAACTAAACACATTATGTTGCATGTTTCAAGTTGACTCTTGAAGTATTTAACCAAGGCTGAAACATTTCTCTAACCACAAAGTTCTGTGTGTTCCATGGAAACTGTCATAATACTACAGCTGCAAGTGGAGACTATATTGCACAAGTGGATACTGTCGGAAATGTATAGGCTGAACTGCATGAATGTTTTGGCTGTTGCAGATGAGAAGCCCATCAATGGAATTTTGGACTGCAGGCAGAAACTATTTGCAGGTATTACAACAAACGGCTTCATGAGCTTTCATTTTTGAGCACCACTGTTATTTCAAAGTCATACGTCAGTAGCTCTGAGTACAACGGGTGTCAGGGGTTGTTCCTGATAAATGACAGAAGTCTCACATCTCCCCCATCACATGGCACACCATTCTTCACACACAATCTGTCACTGTTTTCTCATAGCCCAGCACTGTTACCATGGTAGCCAGAAGGAAGTGAGTACTGCCGATGGCACGGTGTTAGTCAAGACAGTCACAGTTGGGGGAACTTTACTAGCAGATCTGGGTGTTAGAGGCGAATGTTCTGAATGTTCGGCTTTATACGCTGCTATTTTGCTCGATCTTGTAATTATGGACTGTAGAAAAAGCTTTCACTTCACAGTGTTTGGTGACTCTTCGCAACGCCTCAGTACTTATAACCGTGTTTGGGCAAAAGACACAAAGCAGCATCAGTGAAGCCAAGCCAAGGGGCAGACTGTAACAAGGCAGCCCACGGCTTTTTTTTTTTTTTTTAAAGCTTCCAAAAGTCCTCTTTTTGTTCTATACTGATGGAGAAATGAAACATAAAAAAGTGAGGTTGGTTGCATGCATTTAGAATCGCTCTCCTTATTCTGTCAGGTGTCAGATGCTCAATTTTAAAACACTGCATTTGAATCCGATCCACTACAAAGCATCAACTTAGAAGTTGAGTGTTTAATAAATAAAAATTGGACTTTGTAAGATGTTTAAATGTATTCAGAACCCCATATACTACAGAAAGATTTCAGTATTTCTGTCCAGTTTTGTGTAGCCGCAAAATTTCCTATGATGTCAATTTAAAGCTGCCTTTATCGGCTAACATTTACAGAATTTGGAAAAAATTAAAATATGTGTCTGTGTAAAATGGCTACAGGCGAGCAGAATAAAGCCTATTTCAAAGTTAAGTGTGGAGAAGCCCATCTGACTAATGTGAAGTCAGAGGCAGATGGTGTGACTGTCCTGTCACACTTATAGCTAGACTGAATTGGAGAAAGCCTTGTGGTTAAATTTACAAGGCTTTGATCCCTCTCTCTTTAAACTTGGAACTTACCAAAGCAGTTTTATAAGTGATCTGTACAACCACTGACAGTGCGTCTTTCAGAGTACTATGTTGATATTTTACTTTTAATTTATTGCATTGATTAGGTTAAAACAAATGCATAAAAACTAAAATATCTGACAGCAACATAGACATATGGAGCAGGAATAGCATTTCTAACATAATTGCTCTTGGACAAAATTAGCTGATGTGGTTGCCAAGATGTTGGGTAAGTAATTGTTAGCTTAATTATGACCTCACAGTCACCCCACACAATTTATAGTTGTATTGCAACACTTTTGATTACATTAGATGCAAATTTATTGTCATTACACATGTACAAAGCAACGAAAGGCAGTTAGCATCTAACCAGAAGTGCAATAGTGCATTGTGAAGTGCAGATATATTGTTTAATACATACATATATAAATTACTTGTTAGGGCCTTTGCTGCCTCCCCTAACCTTTTCTATATGCATTCCAGTGTGAGCATCACATTGTTAGCGCATTTGATGGAAATTTGTCATTTCCTCAAGTTTACAACAGTCCATACAGATTCATCTGCAAAAGCCCAAAGTTTCAGAGTGCACATACCTGCTAGTAGGATGTATGCACGGAATATGTAAATACGACTTACTGCACATGTAGAGAATGGAATCCTTTGAGCAGACTCCAGTGTACTAGAAAATTCGTATAAAACAACAACTGTGCTTTCATGGTGTCCGAAGC